CCCCCCCCCCCCCCCCCCCCCCCGGAAAATCCAACATGGCAAAGTGTGTGTGTGTGTGTGTGTGTGTGTACTTATATTATTTGTTCTGACTCACCTGCTTAGTCAGACACCTCAGCCGTTTCTCTGAAGTGTCATTGCTGTAATTATGCAGAACACGACAGAGCCATGCTTTTGGCATGCAGTTTTTGGACTCGGGGACCAGTCATGTTGCTGGGATGCCTGGCTTAGAGCCATGTGATGGAGCCTATCCATCTTGTGTAGGTGGCACCTTTTCATTAAGGGAAGGAAGCCTCTAAGAGCTACCAGTTTCTTTGGCTGGGAAGAAAAAGATGGATGACGAGAAGCCAGTCTGGAAACGCTTCTGGGCGTTGGTTAGCCAAGGATCTGTGGGTCTGGCAAAGGATGGAAACAGGTTGGACTTCGACAAGCTTCTCTGGTGCCCAAAACTGGGGGATTTGGCTACAATTTGGTTTCTTCTTCCAGGCAAAGCTTCAGAAAGAGAGGGATCTGTCAGCCGGTGACTTCTATCCTCTTTAAGTCTGATGGAGACATGGATTAAACAGCAGTGCGAACATTTTCGTTATTATTATGCTTGCCCAGTCAGCCAGATGTTTACACTGAATTTGGCGGTCTCTTTTTTGAAACTCCTAGCGAGTCTTTCTCAAGGATTATTGTTATTACTTCTGGGTTGTTAACCTAGACTTCTTTGGGGAAAAAAATAATCAAAAGCTTGCAGTTTTTCTAAGCCGCCTCTTGACTTGATAGAGATATTATTCAAAAGGGATGTTGAGGTTCTCTCCCTCCCTCTTGGTAAACACAGCAGAGTTTTTGATTTTTATGTTCAAATCCATACCTTTTGCGAAGTGTGTCCTGGGATCCCAGCCCAATGTGGTTTTTACAAACCTCGATTTAAGCAGGAACTCTAAAATGTTAAACGTGGATCTTGCTTCTTAAGAAGTAGAAACCACATTTAATATTCTTTAGTCAAAGAGGGTAGACTCTGTATTTTGGCGGAAGGGTGAAAAAAACTTGGTTGTTGGCGTGACTTTGTGAGTTTTTCTTTATTCGGTGCCTATTTTAATATACACTGTATGAGGGGTCCTTGGGCTTGGCTGTTCTCTTGCAGACATTTCATTACCCAACTAGGGAACATCATCAGTGCTAGAAGGGAGTGGGGTTTGTGGAGTATCAAAGAAGGAGGACTGTAGGGTCCTTGGTGCTCTCTGAGCTTGGCTATTTTCTTACAGATGTTTCATTACCCAAACTAGGGAACATCATCAGTGCTAGTCTATGTGTCTATCAGGGCTAGCACTGATGATGTTACCTAGTTGGGCAATGAAACATCTGTAAGAAAACAACCAAGCTCAGATAGTACCATGGACCCTACTGTCCTCCTCCTCCCCATTCCACAAACCCCACTCCCCTTTAGCACTGATGACGTTACCTGTTTGGGTAATGAAACATCTGGAAGAAAACAACCAAACTCAGAGAGCACCAAGAACCCCTCATGTCAACCCTACAAATATTCTCCTTTACTAGATATGTTGCATGTTTTATGGGTGTGTTTCTGTTCCCAAAGGCAGGATTCACCTTCCTTAGGAAAATCATGCTTTGACATGATACAAAAAGCAGGTGTATACAATAAAGAGGGACAGTGGTGGGACTCTACTTCCTAAATTATGTCCAGAAAATGTAGGGTCCAGGAGATGGAAGTCAGCAACTCTTGGTCTTCACTCTTGTCTTGGCACTTGAATGTCAACACGCAAGGCGGAATGGGTGATCCTCTGTTGATTCTTCTCTCCCTGCTATGTTCAATCTGGAATGAACAAATTCTCCTTTCCATTAAGGTCTAATCCCGTCAAAAGATCTGGCAGCACAAGTCCACTTGGCTTCCTGAAAGTCAGCCCTTCCCCTCCATTTTCTGCTGGTGAGCATGGAACAGTGCCATCCCCTAGAAGGTTCTCCTTTGGCGGTGCCAAGCCTTACACACCTTCTCCTCAAGGTAAGGCTATCCAGACGTTCTGGAGATGGACAACCTTTAATGGTTAGGTACTATGTTGAACATTGGGAGGGCTGGACAAAGACCCAAGAATCCAATGCAACCAAGCTTTGGTTTGATGGGTTTTCATAAGTTAGGCTTTGTAGGAGTTTGGTGTCCTGGTCTGGAGATACCCCTTATCCCCACAAACACAAATCAAGGTCTCTAGGTGGAGCTGCAGGTTCAGACTCTGCATCTTTTAGTGAATTGCCATGGGAGAATAGGCGGCAATATAAATCAAATAAATAGATAGATGATAGATAGATAGATAGATAGATAGATAGATAGATAGATAGATAGATAGATAGATAATGTAGATAGATAGATAATGTAGATAGATAGATAGATAGATAGATAGATAGATAGATAGATAGATAGATAGATAGATGATAGATAGATAGATAGATAAATCCATTCAATGACCAAGATGTTTGTGATGTCCAGTGACTACATGGGCAACCTAATGAATGAACCTGCATTTCTTTTTTTATTTTATTTATTTACTTATTTACTTATTTATTTATTTATTTTATTTATATTGCCGCCTATTTGCCCATGGTCGACTCGAGGCGGCTTACACAATGTAAAACCATATTTAAAATGAAAAATAAAAATAAAAACAATAAAAACTAACAAAAAAAAAGAATCAAATAAATTAGTGAAGTACAATAGAACAAAATTTGGGAGAGGAAAAAAAAAAACAGAAAATCAAAAACCAACTCCCGTCCCCCTCCCTGACGACAGCCGATCACATGAGCCGTTGGATGGGCTCCATCCCAGCCCCTCTGGCAAAACTAGGTCTTCAGTGCCTTTCGGAAGAGAGCTAGAATGGGGGCCATTCTAATCTCTGGGGGGAATGATGTTCCAGAGAGACGGAGCCACCACGCAGAAGGCCCTTCTGTATTTGCTTTATTCCCACCTGGGACTCCAATCACTTCCCAAAGTGAAGGCCCTACACAATTCAAATTAACTTAGCCTCCCTCCCGTGGGAGAGAAGGGAGCTACCTGAGGTCAGGTGGGAAAAACGAGGTGTCCCTGCTGAAGCCTTGTTCATTCTTGGTATCCTTCTGGGTTCCTGAGTGAAGTTTCCAAATGATCTCTGATTCAGGTGAGCGGTGTTTGTGGCAACATTGCTTCTAAGGAAACAAAACAGCACTTAGCAATCGGACTTAGACTTATATACCGCTTTCCAGCCCTCTCTAAGCGGTTTACAGAGTCAGCCTACTGCCCGGCAACAATCTGGGTCCTCATTTTACCCAACTCGGAAGGATGGAAGGCTGAGTCAACCTTGAGTTCACTTAGACTCGAACTGCTGGCAGTGGCCAGTCACAGTAGTATTAGCCTGCAGTACTGCACTCTAACCAATGCGCCTCCACAGCTCTTATCCCCCTCTCTGAGTGTGTGATTTCTCATCATGCTGGTTTTCCTTTTCTTGAAGTTGGAACAATTCCAGAGCAGTCAGACCAGATGATCATCCCGTCTCCTCTTGGAACCGAGTGGAGAACTCGGGTGCCCATATCAGGTACGTTTGATGATGTCCAACCATTCTTTGAAACTTCGCAGGCACTCAATTGTCTGTCTGTCTGTCTATCTCTATCGGTATCTATCAATTAGCTATCTATCTATCTCTTATCTATCTTATCTATATCTATCTACCTTATCTATCTATCTATCTATCTATCTATCTATCAATCATCTATCGGTATCTATTGGTGTCTGTCTATCTGTCTGTCTGTCTATCTATCTATCTATCTGTATCTACCTGTATCTATTGATTATCTATCTATCTATCTATCTATCATCTATCTATCTATCTATCTATCTATCTATCTATCTATCTATCTATCTATCTGTATCTATCATCTATCTCTCTATCTATCTCTCTATCCATCTATCTATCTATCTATCATCTATCTATCTATCTATCTATCTATCTATCTAATTATCTATCT